GTCCGATTCATCTTCCTGATTGACGCTATAGCCACCTAAGCCATTGTAGCCGAGGCCCATAAATCGCGACACTCGTTTCTTTTACTTGCCAACTAGCCCCAATTGGAAGCGTCTAGTGAAGCCAAGTCCTTTCCCATTTTGTCTCTCCTTCCTCTTCCAGACCAGTATAGTGATCCGCTTACTTTCGCTTTCAGAGCTGGAGCGTTTTCTCGTGAGGCCCTACTATTGTGCCTACCAGGTTGAGTTTTCTTCTACACATTTTGGAGGGAGGACTCTTAGTTTAATAGGTAAGCATACAGAATAGCTTTCAGAATCAGCTATTACGATTCTCGCTAGCTTGTTTTTCTGTGTGCTGAACGTTAACCTTAGTATTCGATTTTTGATATCCCATCAACCTTTTCTACTTTTAAATGTATCTTTTTGGTTGGTGGTGCTTTGAAAAATCGTTGTCTTAAACCAAATCTGAAAAGAGACTGCAAACTTTTTTTTTCATAATATACTTATAGAAAATCGGGTTGCCTACTAATTGTTAACTAAAATTATAATCCGAATTTTTGTAATTTTTCTTTGTAAAATATTTTTTAAAATTCTTAACTCACAACCACAAACAAAACCACCCAAACAAAAGCTCTAGGCATTTAATTAATCAAAGTGACTTGTCAAATGTAAGTTTACACAATCTTCTACAATAGTGACAAAGAAAATGAATTACTATTGTAATTAGACTTGAAATAATCCAAATTTTTGTTGTACAAAAAATCAGCAAATATTTTGAAAGATTGATTGAGCTAAGCAGAAATGAATGTTAGTATAATCACTACACACAAAGTTGCAGGACATATCAAACTAAAACACTTTAAAGCAATATAAAATTAATGTACGAGTCTACGCAGGTCACGAAATGAGTAGAAGCAAAGGAAAGGAAGGAAATTATTGCAATGCAGATATTGTAAGGTAGTTTTTTCAATGAGGAGGAGCATCGAAAATGTAACCCCTTCAGTGTGGAACTTTAACAATATCGGCGATTACTGCCCGCACTACCGTCATGTATTTCGTCGTGTGGCGGTTTGATCAGTAGGCTATTTGTATGTCCTAATGGAATCTACTTGTTAGCACTCACCTTTGGTATCATTTCAGGAAGGAGCCAAGCCCATCTTCTGCCTTGTTCATTAGTCTTTTGAAACGGGTGCATACAAGAAGTACATGTTCCGCCATTACATAGAACATAGGCCAGCTATGATGAATTCAGAGCAAACTTTAGAAATACACAAGCGGTACGTGGAGTTTGCACTCCAGCCGGAACCCGTCTGGCCAGCTGCCTGAGTCCATCAAAGTGTGCCATTATTCTAGCCCAGGGCTTCCTCTGCAATCGGAGGTTTTTTACTAGAATGTTCTAAGCAGTCACGGAAAATAATCGGATGATCCACCAATATCCCTAAGTGCTTCACGCATGGTTGGGGCTTTATGTTGCAGTCACCAGCTCGGATGACCATTTTCTCCACCTTTTTACGGCGATTTATGGGTACGACTACCGTGCTATAGCATGCTCCGCAGTAACTACCACCTCCGTGTGCATTTTGCGGTCACAATGATTGATACTAAACGAAAGAGGACCTAACACGGATCCTTGTGGCACACCAACTGTGACTTTTTAGTAGACCTAAAGATGCTGCGTTGTATATGCATTGACTTGGTAGTATTCTTTGGTGCCAGCTAACTATCCTGAGCCGCTTGCCATCATCTATAGCCTTTTCGGTTTTTACTTTTGCGACCTCGATGGTGTCTGTGATAGATAATTTTTTCCTAGAGCCGAGCTAGTCGCTTGACAGATTTCCACTTGGGTTTACAACTTGTTTTTGAATGAAAAGCTTAAACAGCTTGCCGGTGAGGTCCAGCATGCACAGTGGACGATATCCAGTGGGAGAAAAATTACCATGATTTTTCGGTATAAGAACCAATTTAAGCAGCTTCCAGCTGTTGGAAAAAACGTCTTCTCGTAGGTAGACATTAAAATGGCTCGCAAGTAGGCACAGATTTTGTGGAACTCCGTCTGTTACCAGCGAGGCGATAATTTTCAGCTTGCCGCCGAGGTTACCGTTGGTTAACTGGTTCGGTGGAAGAACGTATCGAAGTACATACATTTGTGGCAATTGATATCGAATGATTTAAATCAGTAAACATTGGATGTAGAAAATGTTGCAGAAAGGATATTCAATGACTTGCAGACTTGTTTGCATTGTTTAAGTTGATCTTGTATTTGTCGTATTTTCTTTTTTTTTAAGTTTCTCCCCACAAAAAGTACTTGAAAGCATTGTGCGGCATAATCCATGCCATGCAAAGACTTGGCTATCAGGTATGCATTTACACATACAGAATCAAATCTGCATATCAAAAGCATGCAGCCAAACCAAATATGCACATACAATCACACATGCACACACACACACATATCAGCACACATCAATAATGTGTGTAGCTAAGCAAATGTGAGTATCAAAGAATTTGCGCAAATACAGGACGTCTCAGTTTGTTTGTTTACATTTTCGTTTGCAACCGCAGCATGCAGGAAAGCTGAAATGTCAATTTGCTGTCAACAAGCGACAACATTGCACATGCAACACACACATATATATGTATGTGAATGTATATATGCACATAGAAAAGTATGCAAAATAAGAGCTTAAAACAATAGCAGTTGTGCAAAGAATCAAGTATTCTACGGAAAGCAACAGCAAATACATATACAACGGAAGATTACTCATACGCCTGGTTGGTTAGCCCCATCTACATTTTGTGCATACACACATGCCACATGATGCCTCATGTTTTAAGGTACAAACTACTTGGTAAAATGCAATGACAGTTTATTTAGAGTGTGGTACTATTGCCAACATGCCTGTGAAGGGGAGGGGCAAGATGCTGCACAAAAATTCAATCTGCGAGGGGCACCTAAGTTTTGTATAGTTGCGAGCCTTATCAACATTTTGTAATGCATATGTATGCATATGTATGTATGTATTGATAGTCAGAGAAATTCTAAATCCACCCCTGTAATCCACCCAGGAAAACGACTAGCTCCAGCATATTGGGAGGCAGCGCCAACTTTCATAACTAGAGATACCGCACAGGGAGAGTAGTTCTCACACAAAGAGAGGTGTTCGAGTTATAGACCACGCTGACGACGAGGTGCTCTTCGTAAGAAGAAAGTTTTGAAAATTGTTTGATCTTACAATGGTCTACATACTCGAAATAAATCCTGTAGAAAGCTCGTGCTCATCGCCAGGAGATAAAAATTGCCTAATGCACAGCTTTCCTCAATCCATGGCATATCACTTGTGCTCTCTGACAAGGTCAAGTATTTGGACGTGATCTTAGATGGCACGCTACTCTCTGGTTCTTCTAAAGCTAGTCTACTAGATGTGTGAAATCATAATCAAGCGAATTGCGTTGATTAGGGTCATTGTCTCGTAAATATTTCTGGAAAAGTCTACACTAGCTAAAAAGTTAGAGCGCATTTTTGGAAACTCCAACTTCATACCTGAAGAAATGGATCGTTGAGTAACGAAGTGTGTTTCGATTAACAATTAGATCATTTTCCACCCATTTCCCTTTAATAAGTGAAATGTATTGGGGCAGCCTGTAGAAAGTAGACGCAGTAAACATATTCATGGGCGGGTTGAAGTTAGATGGAAGAGTTGGCCTAAGCGTGTTCTGTCAGTAACAGGATTTATGTAGCGTATTTCAAGTAGATGTGGTCGCTGTGCAGGAGCCTATTAAGTGGCAGCATACCAGTGAAATACCGATTAGTTGCGTAACTATCAACTCCGACAGCCAAGTAGCAATAAGAGCGCTACTAATGCTTGTGATGTTATCGAAACTGGCCGAGGAATGTCTGTCCACTTTCCCCGTCTGATTTGGTTTTCATGTCACAGGCTAATGAATGGGCTTGGCAGACGACCCTTAACTTGATCTCTTCTAACAGAAGGCTGTAAGAGTCCTTTGAGCAAGCTGTGCGACTCTTTGCAAAAATGGGCTTTAGTCGGCTCAGCAAGCGTTGTGCGAAAACCACGAATATAAATTGCAAATTCTCTCAGAACGATTGTCGACCGCGGAGGTTTTAAGTTGGCTTCTCCAGCTAGCTAACGACCAACTGTTGATTCTGAAAGAAGTCTTAACCAGAATCTGACCAATTATAAGCCATGTGGTACATGGATAATGACGAGATGCAATCATCTCAGCATTTCCTTATCAGCTCTCTCATTTTGCAAGACTTATTCAGGGCTTAAACTTATATGCTCGTTCTTTATTAACGTTTCTGAAGAACTGTATGGAGGGGACTTAATCGGCCAGCGGAATCTCCATTTAAGCACCCAGTTCCATATAATTTAGGTAATAAGTGATACAAAAATGGGAAATATAAGAAACGTCCAAATGAATCCCTCGCGGGTTTGCCACTTAAGCTACCCTAACGTAGTAGCATGAATCATGCAGAGCCGTAGGGTGAAGTTTTAGTCCGCTAAACCCAACTGTGTTCATTAATAAATCTTTACTCAATAAATTGGAAGGTTGGACCCTTGCATTCAATGAAGCTCTGTATATGGTGGGTTAACCAAGCCTAAAGCCACACGTGGAAAGCGCAATCAGTTCGTTGACATTGGGCTTTAGATTTTCATACCATACGCGTATCTTGGCTCTAACAAGAAGATGATCCGAGTCGTTGTTCCCGCCAGTACTGCTCGCACTACCTACCTACTAGCGTTTGTTCTATGACAAGTAGTCGCAGCTCAAATTCAGCAGTGCTGTCCTAGGCGACGTGGATGTTATAAACCCGGATTTAGACCAAAAACGCCTACGATAATGTGAAGCTCAGCGCACCCAAATAACTTAATCCGGCTTTCGATTGACCCCTTTTTCCCATTTTTATTGAAATTTCTATTCCATAGAAAAAGTATACGCATTCTTTAACTCATACTACTTTCTTATCTATTTTTATCTTTTAGTTTCTTTCGATGATGACTGCAGTCAGGTGCAATGTCCTGTGGAAACTAGCCTCTGCCCGCCAGATAGCGTGGAGCGGCACCCAGCGCCCATTGTCGACGTACTGTATGGACCTGATGAATTTTTGCCACCACATGAGTTCTACGATGATGACGTCAAGCCAGCTGATGTAATTCAGCATCAATACGATGAACTGCCGTTGCACGTGAGTGCTGTTATGGCGCCAACTAATACCAGCACAGCCACAGCTACAACCTCGCCTACAACTACAACGTCAACTCAGTCCGCGGACAGTTTGGGTACAGAGTTTTTAGAGCCCAAAAAGGAATTTAAACGTGAACTGGTATTTGACAACGCAAATATGGATGATCTTGATGAGCACCAGCGTCTGTTGGGAATATGTTGTGTCGGTGTAGCGGAGGAAAATCGGCGACGCCGACGAAGGCTTCGCCGTTCCAGTGTAGCGAGTGATTGTGAATGTAAACCCTGTGAGGCGATACCACAATGCTCCACAGGTGAAGTGGCTATTAGGGTACACGAAGCTGCTGGTTCCCCAGGTGATTGCTGTCCGCGATATGCTTGCGAACCGAAACCGGCATGCGGTGATACGACCGTTATTCAGACTTACTGGCAAAATGCTTGTACACGCTGCAGCTGTTACGGTCCGAAAGGTGTAGAGCTCTGTCACAATGAATGCCCCGAAATGGAGCAGCAGGAGACGGAGCGCAGTTGTTACTCCGATAACTTGCAGGAACCGCAGTTACATGGCAGCGAGTGGTATGAAAACCATTTTTGTACGAAATGCCGCTGTGACAATGGTGTTCGGGAATGTGTGGAGAGCTTATGTAAGCCAGTGGGCTGCAGTAATCCGATAAAAGTAGAGGGGCAGTGTTGTCCACAGTGTCCCACAGGAGTGGAGGATATTTTGGTGGTCCATGAGAACTCAACAAATTCCACTAGTCGGGAGCAGAGGCTTCTGAAAGAAACGACTACAGTGTCTTCTACGGTGGGAAGTGCATCACCGGAAATGATTACTGCATCTACTTTGCCTTCTACCGAGACTTCAACCACAGTTAAGGCTTCTACTGAATCTTCAACATTACTCATTGGTTTTCATAGTGAATCTACAAGTACAGAATCAATCACAACCAGTCGAATAACCGAAGCCTCTTCTAGCAGCACTGAAATTTGGTCTAGTACTAGAAATATTAACGACATTGCAGCTGACGGCTATTTTGGCCTTAGGAGCAATTTCACATTTGAAGGCAGCGATTCAACGACTCAGGAAATAATAGACGATCTTTCCGAAAGCTTCTCAGTATCTGTATTGGCTGCGCAGAGCTACACTTCTTCGCCTACAATGCCAAGCCAAACGGAGTTCACGGAACCATCATCGACAACCTCTAAAGTAAGCACAGCTAGTCAACCTACCTACACTGAAAGTTCCAATGAGGAATCCTCGACCCAGAGTACTCAGAGCACAAAAGACCTCAGCACGACTACCAGTACTTCAATGCTTGAGAGCACAACAACAGTGTCAGCTGTGGTACTTAGGGAAAGTGAGTCTTCCACGGAATCATCCACTGAAACTCCAGCTGCCAGTAGCCCTACCGAGTCCACAACGCTCACCAACTCCAGCAACGCAAGTACATCGCACTTGGCATCCACCAAAATTAGTTCCACAACTGGGTTTAGTACCACAACAGCATCTGGTTCGTATCCGACAACTGCGCCCACTACAACTGCCTCAACTACTTCTACAACAGTTTCCTTAGCAAGTTCCCCACACACTTTAAGTTCGACTACCAGTACACCATACTCTTACACAGCAAGCCCATCGGCAACGCCTTCAACACCTACAACCAGCTCTCCCTATTCCAGCACCGTTTCCACGCAACCTGCTACAACTTTTGTTTATTGGTATACCTTCTCCACATCTGCACCCTCGCCACCCATACCGCAGCCAACTGTCTACCAACCCAGCGTGCGTACGTTCTTTACACGCCCCGTAGTGCGCTACATTGGCGCTACAGTCTTCGTGGCTTTTCTTGCCATTTGTGCGCTGGCGGTGTGGAAATTTTGTATGCCTACGCGCAGCGTTAGGCTAAAGAATCGATATAGGACAGTACCCAGCTCCGAGGCGACCAGCTTGAGTCATAGTCCAACCACGTCACACTCTTCTATGGCATAGATGAGAAGGTTATGTAAGCTGCAAGATTCGTTAGTAGGTGAGAGCTGAAGCGAGATTAATTGGAGGGTGGTGCTCATGCAGTTGAGTAGTGGGCACTGGCTCTTATTATGTGTATATTTAAAGGTTTTTAGTCAAGTTTAACTAATAAAGTTTGTTGCTAGTGACATTTTCATGAGGAAGGGGAGGGAAAAGAGGGATTTCTTTTATGAAAAAAAAAATACAAATTTATAAAGTATGACTTTCTATATTAGACTCAGTAGAGTTTTTTTAGCTAAATTTCGTAAAGCAGTTTTTTAACACTGACTTTAGGGAATTTGGTAGTAGGACTATTATATTATGGCTCCTTCCTCTACCAAACAGTTAAACCCAGCTCCAACTGGTTTGCTGTTTAGCTACCAGTACTATAAACTGTATTTGCTAAGAAATTATGCCAACAAAACTTAAAGATAAATTTAATGTGAGATTAGAAATGCGAAATAACTTTCCGAAATCGCATACCGCAAAGTTATCTTCCTTTACAAACTTTAAGTCATAAGTTAGCCATCACAATTAAAAGGCTGGAACTATTTAATTTATTTACCCCATCGAGTTGAAAATAGTTCAAGTTCATGCAGTATTTTCTGGGACTAGTACCCAACTCCGTATAAGTATTAACCGAAAGTGAAGTGTGTGTGTGTTGCTTAATACTTCTTTGGAAAGTCTTCAATGTAAAAATATGTTTTGAGTCCTTTTAAGCACCTCACTGCGTAGGCAACCTCTTCTCGGTGAAATGATACGTAGAAGCTTTAAAACGATCCTTACCGATGCTTATTTAAATTAAAATAGTCTTGACTTAGTGAACAAACGCTTCTTGAACCGGTCACAAAATATCGTAAAAATATATTTTAGAAATCCCCTCAAGAATTTGGTCTATGAAATGTTTTCTTTGCAAAGAGGGGTAGATACACCCAAAAGCTTGAAAAGCTTGAAAGACAAATGGAAGCTAAGGGATCCTTACCATCTTTATAAATATCGAGAAGTCGAGGCCACGCAATGAGGCTCGCTCCTCTCAAAAGCTTTTCTCCATTGAAAAGCTTTACAAACCTTGAACGGCTCGAACTCCAAAAGGTCATTGCCTAATGAGCATTAGTTCACACGAAGTGGACTTTCCGGCTTATGACTAACCACCAATGCTTTACGAGACTGTCTCTCGGAAAAGGAGGGTATTTTTTCACCCGGTCCATAAATTGATACTTTGTCGAGCTAAAAATCTCTACTAGAGCAGTTTAGACCCTATTAGCATTATGCGGGGTAACTTTTTTTCTTTCCTTAACTATCGTAATTCAATAAAGGACAACTCATAGTTTTCCTAAAAGTTCTTTAAGGTTTTTTCCAATAATTTTGGGTTCGTCCATTACCCTTAACGTGGTCACTTCGACCTTAAAATCGTAACTCACGCATTTTACCATTGCCAAGTCCGCAACCAGTATTCAACAACCTGTAACAGCAGAGTGCTAAACCTTTTCCACAAATTTAATCACAGCCTCAAACCCTTTATTTCCCCTCCGTGACGATGCACTCAAAACTCTGAAAATGTCACTCAGCTCTGCAACAAATTTTAGTTGAGAACAAAAACAAATGATTACAACTAAAGCAAACAAAATTATAATTCTCATTTTAAATCTTAATTTAAACTATTTTATTTACTTTGAAATTACACAATATTTTGCTATTGTATATTATTTTTTATTATTTTATGTATAATTTTTAAACTCAATTGTGTATTATATTTGTATGAATTAATAAAAACCAATAAGCGGAAATCAATATTTGCTGCTTTAATTAGCAATGATAATTTTATTAATAAATGATACATTTTGTAGGCGTTTGCGTGTGTCACCCTTCATCAACGCATGGATTTTGCTCGCATTTATTTTTTTTTTCTTTACTCATTATTTACGCAATTGGCAATTGTAAATTTTTATTGGTAATTAAAACCACATTAAAAATATTAACATACATACATGCAGATAAAGATTTTTTTCGTTTTAATCTTTTTATTCATTTCCTGACAAAAATTGATTTTCTGTTGTATTTTGTTTAATTTTTATATTTTTTTTTGTATTATACCATGCACTGCAACAACGCCTACATTATTTAGTAACGCACACATTTCAGAAGACATTACAATATTTCTGATTTATTTAATTGACATATATATATATAAACATACGAAGTGTTTATTTTTTTATTATTTTATAAAAAATATATGTAAAATGTGATAGGACAATGTTCCAGAAACAGTTTGGTTTTTAAGAAGCAAATACAGACAGACATGCATGCATGCATAAATATGTATGTATGTATATACATATTTACACATGTAGAATTTTGATTTGAGCAAAATAATGTGTTTGGTTTTAACGACTTGGCGCATTAATTTAAAAATTAGATATGACCTTGAAAATTTTCTCGGCAACTTTTTCGATATATAATACTTTGATACTAAGTACTTTCAAGTACACTTGTTTATTTTAATTATTCGTAATTTTGCTCATTTTAAAGAACTATTAATTAAGTGCTAAAACTAAAAAAAAAATTAGTTTTTAATTAAATATAATTTAAAATTTTTGTTTGCATTTTCTTCCAAATTTACCACCGACTGTGGATGTGACATTTTCCATAGGAAGAAGCAAGATTTTAAGTTTTTTTTTTTTTTTAATTTTATAAAAACCGAAATTAAAAAGCGTAATATTTATTTATGCAAAAAAACAAAAAAAAATATCAAAAAACTTCACCTTTACTGGACGAGTATTTTTAACCAAAAAAGTATTTTCTCGACAACACACAAAAAACTTATGTACATTCATATTTTCGACGCAAACAAAAAATTATTAAAAAGTCTACTACAAACAATTCACTGCATTTACACAAATTTTAAATGCCCATAGAGAGAAATTGGTAGCAGAAAAAAATTAAAATTATTGCATATTCATTATCGTAGGCCATGCACGCTTACGATATTAGAACTAAAACGATTTAAAAAAATATAAACAAAAGGAAATTAGAACAAACGCACGCGCATACGATTTCATTCGACGAAAAAAATTGCAATACAAAAAAAAAATCCTAAAGCACACTTTTAGCAGTAAGGAAATCATACGTTTTTAGCAAAATTGCTTTTAGATTAGCTTTTACGAAACATAAATAAATAAATAAAATAAGACATATTTTAAACGAAATTAAAGGAAAGGTTCAAAAAAAAATATTGCACCAAAAGATCTAATAGAAAATTATACAAAATTATGAGAAATTTCAAGGAAATTTCGTTTCTTAAAAATAAGTTTTGCTTTCTACAAAAATATTGCGTGCAAACACAAAAACCCATATTATAGGATACAAAGCATTTTTCATAAAAACTTTTATTTATAGATAGAAAAACTCTTTTTTGCCATCAAACTTTTGCTTCGTACAAAATTTCTTATACATTTTTTTTCATGAACACTTTTTTCGTACAAAATTCTTGAGTATTTAATTTTTTTTTTCTAAATTATTTTTTCAGTAGCGGAAACAATAAATAAGTTTAAAAAATTTATTATTTATTCGCCAAACACAAACATTAATAACAATTTTTCTAAACAAAAAAATTTTCAATAAATGCTTTCAAGAAACACACATAAAAAACAAGTAATATAAGAAAAATAAAAATTAATGAAGTAAAATTATTTCCTAAAAAAAATAGGTATAATAAATTTTCGTTTTTGACAGAATTTTTTCATGCAAACGCAAAGATGTTTTTGATTTAAAACGAATCATTTATTCGCTACCGTTGCACGAGACTTGTTTCAAATTTCCCGTTCTTTATAGGCATATTTCTTACGCAGTTTTTTTTTTAATTTTTGAAACCGCAAATCTAAGGCAAGAAAAATATTTCAGCGAATGATAAATGCGATATAAAATTTTTATGATGAAATTTATGTTAAAATATTTCTATTTAAATTAATGTTTCCAAAAAAAAAAATAAAAAAACACCGACATGTAATGAAAAAAGATGGGTAAAGTTTTATTTGACAAAAAATTTGTTTTCACAAAACTTTTTTTTTCGAAAAATTTTGGAATAAAATGAAATTTTTTTTTTAAATTCTTTTGACAAAATATTTTGAACAACATTTTTACACGCAAATTATTTTCCACCAAAAGTTTTTTACGAAACTTATTTTCCAAATTTTTTATGTTTGTATTTATACGCAGTCAAATAGTTTCCACGACTGTATATTTAGTAAAATTTACTTCTTGTTAACGTATGTATGTACATGTATGTACTATTTCTAGCTCATAAAATTGTACATTATTAGTTTTAAAAGCACTTAAATTTAAAAAAATATATATTGAAATAAGTTCATCAAACCCAAATCGTTCAGATATTGCGCACAATAAAAAAATAAATATTAAATTTTTAAGTTGTAAATTATAAAAAATAGATATATTAATTTAAATTATAATGTTAAGTATTCGAAATTCTCATTTGCTTTCACACTCTCTAAAGTTTTGTACTCTCATTTCGTCAATTTAAGTTATTGTTATTATAAGAAAGTATATGTATATAAATGAAAAATAACTATTAGATGAAATGAATAAAGGAAACGAGTTAATTTAGCAAAAATTAAAGAAAGTACATTTCAAAGGTTTTTATAAACATGCCGGTAAGTAATGACTTGAAAACTTATGGCAACTCCCTTTCTTTTCAATCAAAATAAGTAGGTGTATTTCAAAAAAAAAAAAATAAAAATAAACTTATTTACTTTTATAGTTTTTGAAAGGCTAGCAATTCCTTAACAAACCAAAACGTTGCAGAGCCTAAATCAGCGCATATTTTAGAAAACTTTTATAAGTGTCATCAGCTATTTTTGATTTTTATACACACATAATGGCTACAACTAAAAAACCGTTGCGTCGCTCGAGCAAAAAGGAAAAAAATACTAAAGACTTGAAGGAAGCCGAATCGGGTACACCCTTGCGTACGATGGAGAGCATTAACGATTCGAATCATATATTTTTCTCACAGGACGATTTCGAAAGCTGGTAAGCTAAAAATTCACTTAAACCGTTAAGCCTTTTTTCTGGTACATAATTGTTTCCCGATTGGACCTGCGTTTGGAAAGTTATTGAGTATCTCTGCTTTGGAACATCTTTACCTCTTTAGAATTCTCTGGTGTATCCATGAGAAACCTTAGAGGTGTAGCAGACCAATGAATAAAGGTGATGAAGAAAGAGTAGTTCACCCTTTATAGGGTGTAGGTTGACAAGTACTCAAGAAAAAAAGTAAGTGCGCCTGGGGCACACTGGAGAAGTGAAACTTACGTTACATATCTATTTTGTCTCATAACCAATATACATACATACATACATACATACATATGCGAAACTTCAAGAGGCAGTCGAAGGAGTACTGGCAGGTAAAGCAGAAGTCAGGACCCTACACTGAGAAAAGAGTTTAGTTACGTCAACTAAATATGTTTTCCTCAACACATGATTTGGTTATAGTTACATTATTTGGTTATATTTACCAAATCATGTTTTGAGAGAAATATATTTAGCTGACTTTTTTCTGGGTGTAACTGAAATGGTTCATATAGAGATAGATGATATCGACGAAGTTACGACAAGCGAAGAGGTGTGCTTAGCTTTAAATGGTCAGGGTGGGTCCACTAAAGTGCTAGTATCCGATATCCGGTCGATGCGAAAAGCGTACGGAGGCACACAGACCGCAACCTTACTCCTACCCGAGAGCTTTGCCAATAAGCTAGTAGGCCAAGGTAAAATCAAAATTGGCTGGGTTATCTGCCGAATAAGACATAAAATACAGCCAAAGCGCTGCTACAAATGTTTTGAGTTCGGCCACATATCCAAGGGCTGTCGGAGCAGCGACGATTTTGGCAAATCGTGCTTCAAGTGCGGTCAAACTGGGCATACGGCCAAACTATGCACAAATGCACCACGGTGCTTATTATGCGTAAAACGCGGCAGCAATCCTACCAGCCACCAGGCAGGAGGCAACAACTGTCCGGTATATCAACTGGCGCTAAGCAAAATAAAGGTATGATGAGACTTTTGCAGCTTAACCTCAACCACTGCCAAGCGGCGCAGGACCTCCTGTCGCAAACAATATTAGAGGAAAAAATCGATATTGCGATACTCAGTGAGCCATACAAATCGAAATCGTCTTATGGCTGGCTTCAGGATCAAAGCGGAAAAGCGGCTCTTTGGTCATGCGGGAACCCAGCTCGCTGGATGCAGGGTGCCGTGTCCGAAAATGGCTTCGTTGGTGCGGAAATCGGCAACTTGTACGTATACAGCTGCTACATTGCGCCAAGCATAAGTATACAGGCATTCGAAAATATACTGTTAAATCTAACAATTGATGTTAGTGGCAGGCAGAATGTTCTTATAGCAGGCGACTTCAACGCGTGGGCGCAAGAGTGGGGATGCCGCAGTACAAGCCCAAGAGGGGGAGCTCTTCTGGAGGCTTTCGCTTGTTTGGACGTCGTTTTACTAAACACGGGAACTGAACACACTTTCAGCCGAAACGGTTTTGGGTCAATAATAGACCTGACCTTTATCAGTTCCGGGCTATATAGATTCACTGAATGGAAACATAGCACGTGTTATACGCAAAGTGATCATTCAGCTTTAATTTGCAATATCAACTGCAGACGAGAACTGTCTAAGCGGACTCACGACCCCGGAGTATCGCACGGGTGGAAAACCAGTACTTTCGACCCCGAATCGTTTACCAGCATGCTACCATCCACCGTTTACCAAGGGTCAGCAGACTCCATGGCCGAGCATCTAATGGCCGACATTCGCGCAGCTTGCGATGCATCAATGGCCAGGAGAACTTCCTCCACGTATCGTCATGCGGTCTACTGGTGGAACGATAACATAGCGGACCTGCGAAAGAAATGTCTAAGATGTAGGCGAAATGCTCAGAGAGCCAGGGAAAGAGACAACTTCGTGGTATTTCGTGCGGCCTATAAGAGTGCACGCGACGCACTAAAGAAAGGAATTAAATAAAGTAAACGGCAATGCTTCTTAGAGCTCTGCGATGATGCTGAACGGAATCCTTGGGGCTCGGCTTACAAAATTGTCTCAAAAAAGCTGAAAGGCAGAAACATGAACCCGACAAACGCTGCATACCTAAAGTCCGTCGTGGGGACACTATTTCCTGTACAGAGACCGTTAGTGTCCACTATGGATGGCGAGACGTTGAGTGTTGTTGACCCTGTAACGGAAGAAGAAATCACACTCGCAACATCGAAGGTGGAAGTAAAGAAAGCTCCTGGCCCCGATGGCGTACCCAACATAGCTCTTAAGCTTGCAGTCCACCAGTGCGCTTCCTTATTCCTACAAGTTTTTAATGAGTGTTTCACGAATAGAACTTTCCCTCAAATCTGGAAGAGGCAAAAGCTGGTTTTAATACCTAAGCCGGGTAAACCTCTGGATGATCCCTCAAGTTTTCGGCCTATTTGTCTGCTAGACACAGCAGGTAAAATCTTGGAGCATATTATAGCTAAACGTCTCGAAAGGGAAGTCCAAGAGAAAGGCGGTATATCGGCAAACCAATTCGGGTTTAGAAAATGGAAATCCACTGTGAATGCGGTATCAGAAGTCATTAAGTTAGCACGGGATGCAACAAGCGGTACACGGTGGCTGGGAGGAGCAAAGGAATACTGCGTTATTGTTACCTTAGACGTAAAGAACGCGTTCAACTCTGCCAACTGGGCTAAAATACTCGATAGACTGGAGAGCATTGGCATTTCTTATTATCTTCGGAGACTAATACGAAGTTATTTCCATTCGCGAGTGTTGTGGTACGAAACGGAGGAGGGCCTGCAACGGGCTGAGATAACAGGTGGCGTTCCACAAGGATCCGTACTAGGCCCCTTGCTATGGAACATTATGTATGATGGAGTTCTCCGTACCGAATTGCCTGAGGGATCATCCATAGTGGGTTTTGCAGACGACATTGCGGTAGTAGTGTCTGCGAAACTGCTTGATGTCATATGCGAAAAGGTAGCATCATCAGTCGGCGTGATTAATAGCTGGTTAAATAGCTTCGGCCTGAAGCTAGCCGAGCAAAAAACAGAAGTAATACTTATCTCGAGTCGTAAGAAACTAGAGGAGGTAGCGCTAAAAATTGGCGACCACACCATCACGACGAAACCCACAATTAAATACCTGGGAGTGGTGCTAGACAAGCGTCTTACTTTCAGCGCCCACCTGAGCTATGTGAGAGAGAAAGCAGCTTCAACGATCACGGGACTATCGCGAATAATGCTTAATACGCGAGGACCGAAACAGCGCAGGCGTTTACTCTTAGCGAGCGTGGTTAAAAGCCAAATACTGTATGCGGCCCCAATTTGGTCAAACGCCGCACAGTGTCCATCATACTTCCGCGGAGTCAACTCAACATACCGTTTATGCGCGCTCCGAGTTTGCAGCGCCTTCAGTGTCGGACGAAGCAGCTTTCGTAATCGGCAGTATGATACCCGTAGATATACTAGCAAGAGAATCGACGGTCCTTGCATCCACGCGGCCTACTCTAACTCAATTAGACCGACATCAAGCCCGGCAAAGCAGCGTTACGGAGTGGCAAAACAGGTGGAATATTACGACTAAAGGTCGTTGGACATATCGCTGCATACCAAACCTGGTATCCTGGCTTAATAGAACGCATGGCGAAGTAGATTTTTATCTGAGCCAGTTCTTGAGTGGTCATGGCTGTTTTAAGGCATACCTGTTTAAATTCAAACATGAGCACGACCCGTACTGCGACTTCTATCTAAGTGGCGTGGAAGAAGATGTCCACCACGTATTCTTTGAGTGCCCTCGTTTCCATCGGCAGATGAACCAACTTAAACTTGCCGTTGAAGGGGTGTTTACGCAGTCACGCACAGTCAGTAGTCGACTATATGGTGAAAGGAACCAGCGAATGGGCATCAACCAGCGATACACTAACTTCGATTTTGAAGGAACTGAGGGACCTAGAGAGACAGCGGCGTATCAGCCGTGCTTAAGCCAACTCTTAGCATAGCCGCGGACTGGAACTAAACTATGATGTTCACCAACCAAAGCGTAGGCGCGGACTGGAACCTAGGCCGTTCCAGCCGCTCGAGCAGTGCGGCTTAGAAAGTTGTGCTTTCAGACCGCACCTTGAACATGAAATCTATCAATTAAAGCGCATGCGCGGACTGGAACCTAGGGCGTTCCAGCCGCTCAGGTGGTAATCTCGAAAATTTGTGAAATCGATAAATATGCGTGGACTGGAACCTATGGCGTTCCAGCCGCCCAAGTGGCAATATCGAAAACTTTTGCAATCGAAAATAGGCGCGGACTGGAACCTAGGGCGTTCCAGCCGCTCAGGTGGCAATCTCGAAAATTTTTGAAATCGATAAATACGCGCGGACTGGAGCCTAGGGCGTTCCAGCCGCCCAAGTGGCAACCTCGAAAAAATTTTTGCAATCGAAAATAGGCGCGGACTGAAACCTAGGGAGTTCCAGCCGCAAATAAAGTGCAGTTTCGAATTTTGTCCACACGGGGCGTTGGTGCGGATTGGAACCTAGACCGTTCAAACTGCAAAGGCAATATACATACGTATGCGGGCTTGAAACTCGTCGCATAAGGCATTTTAAGGTTTTTGCTCTTACTGTCTATAAAGGCGAAAATAATAAGTTGTATCTAAGAGATAAATGAATAAATAGTTAAAAAAGGGTAATTATCCTTAAACAAGACTTGGCAAAGCCTACTAGGCGTAGCCCAGGACTGAGTAAAACCGACTGGAACGAACGTGCGAGCCTAGTGCTCAACCGCCTCCCGACGAAATACTTGACGGTGGTACCGGGGGGTTCGGTACTCGGACAGTAGGAGGTTTAGTTCGGGTTAGAGTCCCACACTGACTGGTATAGGCATTCGATGCTTCCTCCTCGTAAAAAAAAAAAAAAAAAAAAAAAATGCTTTTGCTTAAGGTTATATTTTTTGTCTTTTTTTCTATCTAGATCCCTACCTTTACCCCTGTTCCTTCTAATTACATTTATTAATGTTATTCTGGTTTCCTTTATCTTCATTTTTATCTTTATACTCTATCGATAATAAAATCGGTAGTAACTTCCAACAAAATATCGATAACAAAACCAATAAAAATATCGATAACAAAACCAATAAAATATCGATAGCAAAATCAATGACAAATTCGATAAAAATTTCGATAGAAAAATCGATAATAATATTGGTAGCAAAATCGATTAAAAAATTGATGAAAATATCGATAACAAAATCGATTATAATATCGATAATCTATAAAAATCGATTACAAAATCGACAAGAAAATCGATAAATAACATTATCGATAACAAAATCGATACAAATTTCGATAAAAAATTCGATAAAAATATCGATAATTTTCGGACTCTGCTTGACTTACAACCATGCAGAGGTGGCAAACGAACTCTGCCATTGGCCACTGTGCCTACCCACCATTTTTGAACCAATAAATATTTTTTTTTTATATAAATACATGCATGCAAACATACTGGTCTCCCCGCTCGCCGAGTTATTCAATGTCGATTAAAAATTCGATAACAAAAGCGATAACAATAATAATAACGGCAATTGTCAAGCTCAGCTACTGAAAATTGGCTGGTAAAGTCAACGGCTCAAGCAGCTGGTCAAACTTCACTACTAACAAATTGGGTTAGTGCCAACAGCTCACAGAAGGCGGTGATAAGAGATAACACAATTGTAGAGGCAAGAACGCATCTTTCAAGGCCTCCTGTAAAAGAGCCAAGACTAGATCATCTAGTCTGGTCACTGAGGATGAAGCACGCCAGTGAGAAAACCGCGAAAACGTAATGGGTTACTTTGCAGTGCGGATACTACGGCGGAAGACATCTGCAGTGTCCAGGCAATATCCGATGACAGGGGATGCGAGCAAGCTAAAGTTGGGACAAAATTTACATCGAATACTACTTCTGTCCCTTAAGCTGTACTCTGTGAGCAATTGGTCGGTATTGAATGGCTATCATGTAAAATTCCACAGTTGTGGCAAGAAAAACGCTGAGGTTACGGTCATATAGTTCGGTAAGCAAGTGACGACACTGGCTTGGACAACGGCGCTCCAGTGAAAGGCTCCTTCGACTTGGCACCCATGGGCGAACAACGAAAGTAAGGACACCCACGAAGAAAACAGAAGGGCCTGCCGGCACTTGGGATGAGCAACTCGCGCAAATTCGCACACGGGAGAGGCAATTGAAGAAGCTTTTCAGATCTCAGCCCAAACCGACAAATGGTTCTAGTGCCAAATATGAAGAAAAATTTAGAATTAATCAAAACTGGTAGTCAGATCAGCACTCTGAGGAAAGTACGGATAGAGTGGGCATATGAATCTGAGCTATAGCCGCATTAATATGGCTTTTCTGAGACGCAAAAGCGTCATAGGTCTATACGCTCCTCCCTTGACCGAGCTTTTCTTTCAAATTATGGGACTGTTATTTCCCTACATTCCCTTGCAGCCTGGAACACATGTATAGGTACATACAAGCTGCATATCATAGTAGCTCCCACAAGCTTCTCAATGCACTCAATAGCGCCGTAAGGGAGTAATTTTGAGTTAGAATTCTCGCATTTCATTAGTTCTGGGGCCAAACTATAGCCACAAAGGTGCTCACAGCAAGCTTGCTTAGTGCTTCATATGCTTGACGTTAGAGTGGGATATGAGGCAGGCGGATGAAGCGTCGGAGTGCCTATCGTAGTCTCATAGATCTTGAACCAAAACTTGAAGCTGTAACTGGTATTCAAAATGAGTTGTGAGTTGTAAACAAAAATTTTTTTTTCCCACAGGTATGAAGAATTATGGTCCGCCTCGGAAACTAAGCAAAAATCTGTAATCCAGTTGTCACGGTAAATAGTTTTCCATCACCATTTAGCAAGTGACGCTTAACCTCATTTCAGCACCTCTCTACTCATACTGGACTATTTTCAATTCAAAGCTGCGCGTACAATTCAAAAACACCTTCGACGCTGGTATTATCAACGCATCTATCAGCGTAAACGCAGCGCCGCCATACGCATACAATATGAATGGCGTAAATTCTACAAAAAACGCACGATCTATCTTAAACTGGAACAAGAAACCCAAGAGGCAGCAGAGAAGTTCTACTTTCGACAAGCCCAAAAGATACAAGCACTCTGGCGCGGTTGGTACATACGTCAGTACGTACACGATCACAATCAGCTGCTGAAGTCGCAAGTGCTTACCGCAGAGGATCTCTTGCAATGCGTCGCTTTCAAGTTGCATCATATGTTGCGCACCTATCAAATACCGGGTGTCTACTCATTGAGGAATTCACAGTGAGTTGTTGTATTTAGTATGTAGAAAAAGTGTGCTCACTATACTTTTTCACACGCTTTCAGCTGCCTATCTAAAGTCGAGAAACTACTCGCCGCCATGTCTTTTAAACAACACAACATCTACGTACGCCAATTGCGCACTTATCTGGAGAAACGCTCCAACAATGCGCGCAAAAAGTTCGAAGACTCTGCTTATAGTACAGTTGTACCATATGCTGGTCCAAATGTTCACGGACACTGTGAACCGAAATGTACTGCCCTTTTTAAGGCTAAAGATATGGATCGTCGCATGTATGAGATATTGAATATGTATGAAGAAGCAGCCAAAGCAGGCGTTCAAAAACAACGAAAGCATAGTGGTTCGAGGCATATGGAGAAAAGTGGTCGTAAGTATATGTATGTACAAAGAGAGTAATGATTGGTTGAAGTCTTTGACGCTAATTAGCACTAAGATGTATTGTTTGAACATTTATTGAATGAGTGAATGCGTTCCAATTTCCACAAGTTGAGATTGATCCACATTGAAGTAAAGTTTGCCCAAAAACTGAATGCGGTTATACTCAATTCTAATCATATTCAGAAGACAGCGCCCAGTGTAATTTGTAACTGGCGGTTGTCTAGAAGGGTTGATAATCTTGAGCACATAAAGAGGTTGATGGGCCTGTACGTGTTTCCCTTAATAAAACTCTGAGGCAGGATGTTCCCGTCCGCTTCCAGATTATCCAGAGATGATATAATCGGTAACCACGAATGAAAGTCGTGCATTCTGAAAAATATCCCAAGGGTGATATCCGATCTAACCCAGAGAAGCGCTATCTAATGCTCCTTTTTGTCTACATCTTTGACTACTTCGAGGAGTCAACACCAATGGCGGCATGGTGGCCTTCCCAGCTGAGCGCAGCCCATTTCAAAAAATTTATCAAGCTATCGATAGTTAAGTCAGCTTGCAACCTTGTCGAAAAAGGGACTTGGAATCGTATTTGCTCATCCTATATCGTTCCTTGAGCTCTTGTTATCCTGCCAAGTGTAGCACAGGACTTCAGCAACAAAAAAAAAAGGTGAATAGAATTCACCTAACCTAACCTGTGATGAGGCAGTACCACAGTTAATAGTTTTGAGTCTCTTTGGTTACGTGCTCTTCTTATCAGTTCTTGACTACCTAAAACCTCTTAGCTATAACTTTTGTTCCAGGTCTGCTTTTGTTAATAAACCCATCGGGCTTCTTCAGAAAGTATAGTATACACCTTTCAGCCTTGTATTTCCCAACTTGAATCATATAGAGTTCGTTATCCGTTTACTTGCTTGTAGAGAATTCGGCACAACTTTTATCGACATAGTTTCCAAAGGAGTGTCGTTTTTTCAGAACAGCAGCAATTCTGGTTAACCGATTGGCTTCCTCATTTCCTTGGACTCCCATTTGCCCTAGTACACACATCTATTGGCTAGTATTATTCTTAGCAAGGGTATTAAAGTTCTCTATGCACTCCAGGACCAATGAGGATTTAACCTCAAAGGAAGAGAGGACCATAAGTGACATAAAAGATGTACTCCTGGTCGCCTTGTTGTATATCCATGGCTGACTTCAGCTTCAGCAATCCTGGTGTCTAGCGGTCTAGCAATTCATCTTCGGATGGTAGGCTGTACTTTGCGTTTTTCGAAGTGTTATCGAGAGCCCTTTAGGTGTCAAGAAAGGCACACAGCGTCGTCTCTCCACGCCCAAAAGTTCTTTAAATTTCCTTAGTCAGGGCATACAGTGCGGTGCCTGTGGATCTGGCCACTTTGTACGCGTGCTTTCAGCGTAGAGGAGGTGAGACTTGCCGGCCTGTGGGACTTAGCGAGAAATTGATCCCTCTTACCATCTTTCGGGCTAGAAAGATAACGCGGACCCTTATCCACACGTCAGGGATGAGAGCCTGTACTAGACTGTCGCTCATGATGTTAACACGCTGTGAAAGTAGGAGCTTTTCGCCCCGTTTTAGCAGCACTGAACTTTTGCCATCCACCCCGGGAGCCTTGTACCGTTCGAAAGAATCCAGAGCCCGCTGCACTGGTTATTAAGCCTTTGGCCAGCTTTCAGTCCGATGTGGATGGAATACCGCATCCTTCGATGCCAAAACGGCATCCGGAAAGTGGGCCGAGTGCTCTTTCCTTTTCTTTACTTGAATACGTAACATTAGGCAGCCTGACCGATAGCTAGCCTGCTTCCGGTGTTTTCCTTCAGCAAAGCTGTTTAAACCTAAGGACTTTACACACAGACTGGGTGTTTGTAAACAATGATATCGTCTATTTTGCGGAGCTTCGGTTCATGGGACGAGCTTTTGCTGCTTTTAGAACTTTGTCTCCTCAAATATTTTATTAGGCCGGTTTGACATTAATGTGCTACAAGGTAAGACTGAAAAGGTTACATTGTTTCCTTTCTCTCTCTTTTATTCTTCTTTTTGTATTGAATTTCTTCTGAACTTTTCTTCTTTTTCAACAGAGTCTCCTCGTTCGAAATCAACAGACAAATCAAAGCCTGGACAACGTAAACAAAAGCAACCACAAAATAAAACCGACTTTTGTGAGGATATTGTGAATAGCATGAAACGTTGGCGCATTTTGAAAGACAATAATGTCACAGTAGATCCAAATATATTTCGACGTCCAGATAAGTTGGAAAATTTTCTACGCGAAATCGAATCGATTCACAGTTTGATGCAAGACCGTTGTCATTGCCGCATTAAAAGTGCAGAAGAGCTATGCCGCTGAAGTTTAACCAAAAAAAAAAAAAAAAACAACAATCACAACTGCAAAGTAGCAAATGGCGGGCAAGAAATTGGAAATGCAAGCGTACTGCAAGAAACAAAGCAATGGAATTGCAGAATTTTCTAACAAATTGGAAATTTATAGTCAACTCAACTCAACACAACTCGGACAAAATGACATTCAATACACGTCAGGCGCTATGTTCGCCTGTCACTTGCAACGCTTGTCAGTATTATTCATCTTCAACTTCACCGACTGCTTTTCACAATGTAGTACAGTTAATAAAACGTTCATTTTTCGTCTTGTTTCTGGCGTACGCAAAACGGCCGGAATCGCAATGTTTAGCGCAGCCATTTTTGCCTTGCACCAATAGATGTTACGCAGACTTATTTCACACGTCAACTGTGTGACTATGATTTTTTCTGCAATTCTTTTTTCTTTTGCATTCTTATTTTTTCATGTCTCCTTGCTACGGGCACCTTCGAAAAAAATTCTTAAATGGAAAATTGAATGTAAATTCACGTCAATTGGATACCGAGCAATATTTGGTTATCAAAGTGAACAGCGTGGAATCTAAAGAAAAACGAAAAATTATAAGTAAACAAAAAGCGCTTTAGACACAGAGGGTAAAATGTATGTATCTGTATTAGGATGCCTCACCAAAAAAAAATCGTGGTTTTAATTTAACCGGAATTATAAAATGTATTATATTTTAAAACTTTCGCCAAAATATTTCGATTTGAAAAGACCTACAAAAAATCGAGTTTTTCATAAATAAAATTAGTTTCCGAAAATAGTATTTCCAAAAAATCTCCTCAGATGATAAATCAGTTTAAACTTAAGAGGTTTTTTGTCTGAAATATTTTGGCGAAATTCTTAAAATATAATAAGTTTTATAACTTCTTTGTAGGTAACTTGCCTTGCTTTATCTCAGTCGTTCCTCTTTTAATTTGAATCAGAATAAATATGATTAACACATGTTTTTTTGAGATTCACCAAGTTTAAAAGAGAGTCGCTTTTTCGACTTCTTGAGGGATAAAATTTCCAAGTACTTTTGAAATTCCACAGATAAATAAATTCAGGGCTAAATAAAGCCTCAGGGCTATTCAGAAAGTGCGAGCCGAGATGTTAATACAGTGACGAGCAAAACTGTAACATGCTTTAACACTTTTTGTTTCAGCCATCGCTATCTTTCCAAGTTCTAACGACTTCCATACTTATGTTGTATATTCTAGTTGGTACATCCCTACCCCCTCTCTCATAATGATTTGAAGTCAATACAACAACAATAAAAAAACCAGCAGACAAAAATTTAAATTAAGGCAGATGTTACAGTTTTACACTCATATATTTTTAAGAGCTTTTTAACAATTTTCACGAAAAAAAAGAACTACTAACACAATGTTCAGTACTCTTTTGCCTGTTTCAGTTCCTGGATGGGATTTGGCATACCTTATTTGTATCTTTGTAAAAATTCTGGAGGTATATCCTTAGTTTGCTTTCACAGCTCATGTACTCGATTTTACGGATTTTGGTATTTATTAAGCTGTGCTTTTAGTTGATTTTGCAAATTCGATGAGATTCATGTCCGCGGTTTGTGGAGGTCATTTCAAATTAGAAAATTTTTGCTTTTGTATCCAGTCTTTGCGAACATATGCAGTATGTTTTGGGTGATTTTTCAGCAGAAACTCTCATTTTTCGACTACATTTTGCAATTTTTGTTAAAATATGAACAGATACTGTTCCGTACGCATAATGCGTACTAACGGACCAACAAAGTTTTTGAAATACAACCCCAAACAATTAAGACCCTACCACTGTGATTCACAGTTTGCAGGACACGATGCGCTTAGGCTTAATTTGGGTCTTTGATCCAAGCCCGGCCCGGCCATCTGATTGAAAGCGATTACTTTAGTCTTGTCAGACCAAATAACCTTCAATTGAAACTTAAAAATATGTTTTTTATTGCATTCTGAACGGCCTAACATATCCCAATAGGCAAGGGTTCGGTTTTCGCGCGATGCAGCGAAATGCTGCCACACTCGCACATGTATTATGATCAAATTTGTTTTTCTCTTCTTTATGATGCCTTGGCGCTCAATTTGGCAATTCTTCGCCTCGCTGTCTATTGATTTGCGTTAAAGTTTAATACCTTAAGCGCTTCTGTAATAGTGGTTGCATCGCTACTTGCTGCTAAATTCACAAGATATCGTACCGTAATATTTTTTGACAGACTTCCTTTGTCCTTGGGAACACTTTAGGCTATATTTTTTCTCAGTCTTAACATATTCAAGTAGCAAATTCCAAGATAGTTTGCCACTTTTCGTGCGGTCCCGCCTTTCCACAGTAAATCAATTATTTACATTTATGGTTTCTGATTAACTATATTATTTACTGGTGATCACTTCTTCAATAAATTACAATAAAGAAAAAAGTCATCTGACTTCCAACTAAGTAAGAGATAACTGTCAAATGCAAAACTGAGAGTGAGTGCAAAATTGTAACATCTGCATTAATTTACATTTTTGTCTGCTTTTTTTTTATTGCTGTTGTATTGACTTCAAATCATTATGAGAGAGGGAGTAGGGGTGTACCAACAAGAATATTCAACAAAAGGATGAAAGTCGTTAGAACTTGAAAATATAGCGGTGGCTGAAACAAAAAGTGATAAACCATGTTACAGTTTTGCTCGTCACTGTAACTCAAACCGCCAAAGGCTGTTTATCAAAGACTAGGAAGCTTTGTTGGACTTAGAAGCTCACTTTAGTGTGTGCGGTCCACTTTGTGTCAGAAAAATCTTTTGTGTCCTTGGTTTTCGCTCAGCGCTCATTGAGCGGACGTGAGACGCAAGAGTAGTCCGCGGCTAGTCAAAGGTACTTCCATTACTTTGTCGCCCGGTGAAACCATCTCTAGGTTAACCTTTCTAACCGACTCATCCAGTATGCAGTTGCCTGATATATAACTGTGGGCTGGCATTAATAAACATAAGTCTGACTAGGAAAGATACTGCAGGAAGCGAAAAATAAGGTAGGCATTTCAAGCATCAGTCATCTTTGTGTGAAACATAAGCCTTAAGGAAATTTCCCGATAGAAAATTCCTCCAACAACGATTCCATTTAGCTTCACCTCATCCTCGTAAAAGTCTTTCACCTTATAACTCTTGCAGCATCTGGCTGCCAGCGGCAAGGTGTTCATCTGCCTTTCTGGGGCGGTAGCTTATGGTTGTAAAGGCGGCTGGCTGCTCACTACATTGACGCGGCCTAGATCACCTTCGGCCGCTGTGGCTGAATGATTAAAAATATTATTATTAGAACACCTTCGACCAGTCCTTAAACAGAATTAGTCGGAGTGGTACCATTAAATCTTCTTCACTTTCTGACGAGGCCCAAGTTGCCCAAATTGCCCAGATGGAGCGAACGAGGAGCCAAGACTCGAGATGGAGTATATTGCCTTAAATATAGCTATTGGAATATATGTGTTGCCAGTCTAATTTATGTGGAGTTTTTCGCGAATGGTCAGTGATGTGTTACATACTATATTTTGCATAAATATATAAACTGATTGCTACAAAATTTGTATTTGCTATTTTATTTTATCTCAGCAAAGTCAGGAATTTCACAATTTAACCAGCTGTTACAGTTCCATTTCCTAGTAAAAGTTAGTAGTCGGTTTTTTTTATTCCACACAGTTAACGCCCATTCTACTTCCTTTCAATATTTACTTGAAATTTGAGATAACTTTTCACACTTTATATACATACCTACTGTCGTCAATGTTGCCTTCGATTTACCACAACTTCAGCGCTGACCAATCGTCAAATCTCAACAACAAACAACAAACTAAACTGGCCCTGATTTTTCATGCATTCTTCATTCTCGACAAGCTGGCATTCATTGCACCACCATCACCACCAACCGCCGAACTACTCAGCCGCTCATACTTCCTTCCGTTCCGTTACTCGGACCATACTGCTTGCGCATCAACTATTCTTTAGCTGCTTAGTTTGTGCTCTGCTTCAATTGTGTCCGATGTCCAACAACTGCTGTGGCTGTAGTGGAGCGTTACAAGCAATCTTGTCGCTGATTGTCCATCTACAATTGAATTGTTGGTTTGTTGCTGTTATATTGTTTACTGCTACCCTGCCTTAGTCACTCAAGTCACTCGATAGCAGTTCAAGCACAAAACACCGCAAACAACTACAAACCGTACTTGCTATGAAGCGCTGCTGGACGAAATCGAGTGATGACCGAATATACCACTTCTGATTTTCTATTTTATTTTGCTACTCAATTTGTATGATTGCTGATGTCATTGTAGATTTTTTATACCCGAGCGCACTTGTGCACAAGGGTATTATAACTTTGTTCACATAACGGTTGTTTGTAACAGGCAAAACGAATCGAGATAGATATAGACAAATGTATACATAAATGATCAGAATGAACAGAGAAATCGATTAAGCGGTGACTGTCTGTCCGTCCGTCCGTCCGTCCGTCCGTCCGTCCGTCCGTCCGTCCGTCCGTCTGTGCACACGATAACTCGAGTAAAAATTGAGATATCTTAACGAAACTTGGTACGTGAACTTCTTTTGGGCGTGGGACGGATGGTATTGAAAATGGGCGAAATCGGATAATAACCACGCCTACCTCCCATATAACGGTAATTTTAAGAAATACGAAAACTGCGATATTTTAGTAACTACTGAAGATAATCCACTCAAAATTGATACTTACAATGAGTTTCAGACGGAAAACATGAATATTAAAAATTTTTGGAAAATGGGCGTAGCCACGCCCACTTATGGTTACATGTGTATATCTTGGTAACCGCTGCACCAATTTCTTCCAAACTTGGCACAGTTGTTGGCCTTAGTACAGCATACTAAATGGCTGAAAATTTTAAAAATCGGACAATAACCACGCCTACCTCCCATATAACGGTAATTTTCAGAAAAACGAAAACTGCGATATTTTAGTAACTACTGAAGATAATTCACTAAAAATTGATATTTGCAATGAGTTTTAGACGAAAAATAAGAATATTACAAAATTTTGGCAAATGGGCGTAGCCACGCCCACTTATGGTTACATGTGTATATCTTGGTAACCGCTACACC